CAAGCAAGAAACAAAGCAAAACAAAAAAATAAAAATAAAAATAAAATTATAGAAGAGAAAAATAAAAGGATTTTTTAATTTAAGGATTCTTCTTGTTATATAGAGTAAATGCATGTATTCCATACACACATGCACACATTTAAAATTTCAACATAAAGTGAAAAAGAAGAAGAAAAATCGAAACGCAAGAACGAAAAAAAAGAATGTTTTTATCGAATTAAAATTTTGAACAATGCCAAAACTTAAAACTTTGTGAATATAAAAGAGAAAAAAGAATATTAAATGAGAAAATTCTTAAAGAAGAGAGACAAAAAAGTGTAAAGAAAACAAAAACAACAATATTATCTCTCTCTTCTTCTTCTTTTTTCTTCTTAATTTATTTTATTTTCAAATAAAAATTTCTCTGTATTATTACGTCACACTAACAAAAAATATTAAATAATATAAATTCAGTAATTATAGTTGTATGGGTGTGTATTTGTGTTTGCATTATTGTGACATTTTAATTTGTTAATACTTGATTGTGTACTAAATAGTCTCTATTAGAGAATAAATTAAAAATCAACTTCTCCTAAACATATGCAAAAAAAAATATTTTAAAAATGATATTATTGTAATTATAGTGAGAGAAAATAAGAGAAAAAGTAAGATTATTTAAAATAGCTAGTGTTGCCTTTATTGTTATGGTAGCAATTCTGAAAATTAGAAAAATATGTATATGTAATTATTATAATCTCTCTTAGAAGATGTTTAATGAGTTTTACAATGAATAATAAATTTGAAAGTGAAATTTTATTAGAAAATTTGCACTTTTCTCCGGAATAAACTCGAATTATTTTTCTAATAAGAGATTCGAAATGAGTAATAATGTCAGTTATTTAAAGTTGATATTTGAAATTGAATATAGGAATTTTTGAAATTTACTGACCATAAGTCAATTTTGAGGAATACAAACTAAATTTGCGCAAATTTAAGCAAATTCCCTAATAAAACATTGATTTTTCTATAATATTATATGTTGATTTAGTAAAAAAGTATAATTTTTGTATTTTTAAATTGTTATACTGCAGTTATACTACTGTTATACTGCTTAAACTGTTATACTACTACTGTTATACTACTGTTATACTAATACTTATACTGTTATTATTGTAATGGTGTATTATTGTAAATTTTTTATTTACATTGTTATTGCATTAATTATGATTAAATTCATACTACTGGCAACAATATCAACATGAATTTGGATAACAAAAAAAAACATATTATAAGTTACAATAGAAAATTGTTATATACAAAGATTAAGTATGTTTAGGAATAATAATATTATGTTAAACATTAATGTGAATAAATTTATTTTACACTTGACTAAAATAGATTTTTAATTTTACATTTTTAAGAGAAAAAATTCTTATTGCAAATTAAGTTTTTCTTTGTATGTAAATTAGTAAACAAGATTTACAATAAATTGAGTAGTTATTTTTAAAGATTAAATTGTTGAATATTTAAAGAAAAATGAAAATATAGAAAAAATCAAATGTTTATTATAGGAAAATATTGTTATGATAAAAGATAATACCTAATAAAATAAATTTATTTTTCATTCTATTTAATAAAGTACTGATTATACTTTATATATTTTTAATAAATTTTAAAAATTTGTATAAAAATTGTCCAAATAATATTGTTTTTAAGAATTGTCATAGTTGCCAAGCTATCTTTCTTGTATTAACAAAATTTTATCTCAGTGAAAATGCTTATTACAAAAAATTGTTCATTTGAATATTCAACGTAAGAAGAGCAGAATTTAATTTCTGATCGTTCATTGACTCTTGTGTTACTATAAAATTCGGATTAAACCAATGGTTTGTAAAGAGTCGAGTTACAATGTGAAATTGTTTTTATATCAATACATTCCAACCATTGCATAATTTTAGGATGAGAAAAAAATCAAATTGTTATTAGGTATTAAGAAAATGCTGTATCTTTACTGAATGATCCCCTGTTTCTTACTCTAATTTGAACATTATAAATTTACGTTATATATTTACTGTTGCCGCACTATATTACATTATTTACTCCAAAATAACCCTGTTTATCAACTCTTCTCTTACAGTACACTTTCTATTTCTATAATCATACATATTTTGTCTGCTTATTAAAATCATATTTTGTACAGAAAAGAAGGAAAATTCGAAAAAAAAATATATTATTTTTTTCTTATAATTCCAAAGAATTATAAGAAAAAAATAATATAAAACAAAATTTTCCTAATTAGGCATAAAAAAATTGCTTACTAACTTTTAGAAAATTTTTCAAACTCTTAACTGAACAACAAAATAAAAACAATAATAATATGATAAAAAAAGTTTAACAATAAAAGTAAAAATTTATTTTTGTTTTTGTTCCTTTTCCTTTGGCAACCATATCGTTTTTATTAAAATGACATTAAAGCAATAAAATTAAGGAAATTTAAAAATATTACAAAACATATCCTAATTTACATACACATTTACACACATATATACACCGATACGCTTTGATTCTCCCCTGATATGAGAGGGGGGGAATGCTTTTTGAGAGGATAGCGGTTCGACGGATTGGAGGAGAGTTTCTTTAGCGCTTGTGAGTGATCTGCTGAATTTTTCCCAGCAAATTTAGGGGGACGGATGTGCGTTGAAGGGATTCCGATGTGTCTTTTACTGGCCTAGAGCTGTATGTAAGCGTCAAGGCTGTCGCCTTCCCTCTCTTACTAATAAATAACTAATTACACTCAGTCACAAATAACATAAATTCACTTTAATTCTATCAAACTTTTAACTTATTAGCTTAGATGATTAATATGATTATATTTGTTCCGGAAGTAATTATAAAATCCTTTCATCCTTTTCTATAATAATTTTCAAAATAATGAAAATAATATCATCAGGATGAATAAATATAGAAAAAGGACATATAATAATATTATAGGACATATAATAATGACGTATAGAAATTTATTGTCAAACAAGGAAACAAGGAAACAGAAAAATGCCAGAGTATTTGTGTATATGAAATAGAAAAATGAAATAAGGGATAGAAAAAAATATTTTTTTTTTTTAGATTTGGTTTGATGACCAAAAACAAAATTATTTCCGGTCTTCATTTTTCCTATATTTACTTTTTTTTTTATTTTGAAATATTTTCCCTTTTGCAATTTTCACACAAAATGTATAAGAAAATAATATATAAATTTTAAATTAAAGGGGATTTGGTAAACTAGGATATTTTCATTATTATTGCTCATTATTTGAAATTGTAATTTTTTGTCAAAAGGTAGGAAGGAAATTACTATAAAATAAAATGAAAAATCTATATATACAAATATACTATCTAACTCTAAGGTTTTATAATAGAAAAAACAAAAATTAATCAATCATAATGACACAAAAACTAGAATTCCTGAAATTATAATGCCTGTAGCCTATGGTCCTGTATTAGGACAGTAAGATTTTTATTATTCGTAACAGCAAAAGTTTAAAATCAGCTCGTAGTTGTGAGACTTGAAATGTTAGAATGCGATGATTTATTTTACAATGTGGTTGAAATTAAAAATAAGTTTGACGTAGAAAAATTTTGAGGCCTTACAAAGGAAAATAAGGAAAATAAAGAGGCCGGAGCTAATAAGAAGATTTCAATTTTAATTTTAAGAATATATCAAATGTCAATATATCAAGAATATATCAAATACAGTTTGAATGGTTTAAGAAGAATGAGCCCAATTTTTAAATCTTACAAGTTTCGGATTTTATTAGATTCATATTTTAACGGGTTCGGAGTCTTTAGGACTCAAAGTACGAGTAAATTTTGACTGCTGCTTTCTTTATTATTTTTTTGTAATTTTTAGTTTCAATTTTGAACATTCATAATAAAATTTTCTTATGAATTTTTTCTTTAAGTCAGATACGAGTAATATTTCTAATTTGAGGATCAGCTCAATCGTTATTACTATAGGATATTTTAAAATTTCTTATTACTAAATTGAAATTTACAATAATGACTAAAAAAAAACCGGATTTCTATTACAAAAATATTATAAACTTAATTTTAAATTTACAATTTTTTTCCTATAAAAAGCTTTTTCAATATCAACAATGTGTTATTAAGGAGGTGCAATATACATAATGTCCTTTTGAAGAAAAATAAAAATATAATAAGCAAATATAGTTAAATACATGTAGGTATTCCTTTGAGAATATAAAATGAATATTGAGGAAAAAAAAGGTATTTTTATTTAATAAGTTTTCCTTGTTAGTTCTCTTTTTCTCTAAATACAGGACCGATGCAAGAGTATATGAAGCCTGTCTGAAAATAATGTCATCATTCTACTTTGTTCTGTAGTTAGTCAATATATTTTAATATTTACAAAGTCTGGGAACGAAAAAAATGAACGAGATGAAGTTTTATGAATTTGTAAGGTAATAATTTTGTACAGGACCTTTAAGTCTAGTTTGTAGAGGGTGATGATTATCTAGCACGCTGAATCTAGAATTACAAACATTGATTAACTGTCCAATTGCTATAATTAAAATAATCAAAATGAAAACTTCAAAATTCTGGATAAATATTTATAAGAGACAAACTTGGTGTATTTAAAATACTGGTGTTCCAGTGCAACTAACTCTGTGCGGCTACCTCATCGAATACCCTTCCTTTCTTATATGGTCTATATTCCGTCTGTAATTTTTTATTTTCTATATTTTCTAATTTAATCTTAAATTTGCTTTTCTGTAATTTTATAGGTCTTGTACTTAGATTATGTGTATACATAATATATATATATCTATATAAATTCGAAATTAATAATTAATTTGATCCTTTTTTTTTTCTTTTGCTTTTCTTGTATTTTATTTGCAACCTGGTTTTCTATACTACTTTCCTTTCACCAATAATAAATATATTTTTTTTTGTTCTTCTTCTTTTTCTAATTTTATTGTTTTCTTTTTTGTTTTTCTGTACAGATATGGACCACACTTTGAAGATAAAAGAGAAGGAAATATTACAAATATAACAGTACAAGCTGGCAGTACTATACATTTAAATTGTCGAATATCCTTATTGCAAGATAAAACGGTAAGTACATTTATATATAGAATATTTAAGAAAAAAAAAAAATAGAAAAAAAAAATTTTTTTTTTTTAATTTTTCTCTTATTTTGTTGTTTGTTATCTTGTTTTAATAAATAGTAAAATTAATAGAATATTTAAGGAAGGAGAGAAGAAAAAAAAAAAGCAAATAATGATAAAAATTGTGTCCTAAATAAATTACAGGGACAAAAGAGGAAAGATTAAAAGTTGAAAAAAAAAAAAAAAATAAGTGGCACAGATAAATTGGTTATAAAAGTGTGGTAAAACTCTTTAAAAAAATATTTAAATTTTTGGTATAAAAAAGTGACTATAAGATACACAAGTATGTAGATTTGTTAGATTTGTAAATTTTATACAACTGATATAACAGTGCACCGTGATCACGAATAACTATCTATTGCTCACTCACCCGTGACTGCGTGTTTGCATGCCCTACTACATAAGCTCGAGGCCCACTCTACTGACAAAATCGAGCTCTTTGCTCGGCCACGCTCCAGAAAACCTTAACTTCGCCGCTGTGAGAGCAAACACCCCCCAGTATTTCCATTCTCTTATGAGCGAGATAATCATACTCCCCCAGAACTGATCGTTCCCTATTCTACCCACAGAATTTGCTAATGTCTACAATTTTTAGGTCCAGACTTCTGAGGTTTCTTAGGTTTAGAAATTTACTAAAAATTGCTATCATAAATGAAATGGTCTTGTTTTTGTTGGCTGAAAGATAAAATTTTAATATTTTTGATTTTTATAATTAATTATGAAATTGTATTTAAGTAATTTTTGGCGAAAAATTTATGTAACTTGGTTTTTTTAAAAGTGTTAAGTTTTAAGGAAAAGTTTGAGAACTGGGAAGCCCCGTTATAGGCTTCCTTCCTATATAACTTTTAATAAAATTCAATTATTTTTTAACATTTGCGGATGAAAGTTCAAAAATCCTATAAAATTAGAGAGCTGTAAATCAGGTGTGCTTAAAATATAAAATTTTTCTCATTTTTTAAATTTTACCTTTCGAAAACTTAATAAAAATTTAGTGATTTCGAAATATTTACAACCACTGGCAATATCCAATTTACTGTTCTTTTTCAGAACAGGAAAAAATTTAAATATTTAAGAAGAAAGAAAAGAAAAGAAGAAAATATTCAATTAACCTTTGTTTTACGTTTTATTGAATTTTTTGTTGTTCTAATATTTTTCAACCATAGGATCAGTTGGAATGTAGGCCAATCTATGGTTGGCTGATTGACGTAGCCACTATCTCTTATTCACTTGGCCGGAACTCAGCCGGACACTCGCAAAAATAGTGAAAAATCCTAGCAATCTCAGCCTAGCCGCATGCTACTCTTACCAACAACGTAACGTGTAAAGACAACCGTCAGGTAGGCATTGTCCCTGCGTGACCTCGCAAGGAAATATCCGATATCCTATAATGGTATTTTGGTCACATTTTTCTTGCCGTTTCGCATGTAGACAGGGCTTTCCATCTGCGGTCAGATTTATGTGTAATAAGAATTTTGTTCAGTAATTTCAATAATAATTTAAATTTTATCCCCGGTCTAATTAATTCGAAATGCTATACCTAATATTTTATTAAAAATTATTTTAAATAACTTAATTTTTTCCTAATTATTATTTTGCAATAAAAGAATATTTTGTCATTATGCAAATATTTTTACAGTTTATTTAGAAAGCATAAGCAGTAGCTTTATTGGATAGTATTGAAGCCAAAATAGAGATTTGTAAGGTTTAATGTCCCTTTTCTTAATGTTCTCGGTACAATAACAATTCTGTTCATAAAATCAAATTTAAATTCTTCGATGCATCTGTACATAATTTTTGTCCTAGTTATATTTTCTTTCTATATTCTTCATCTCATTTATAGTAGTCTTATTCTAAGATTATGTTTTGCATATAATTTTTCCCTTTATTGTCCCAATGAAATTTGTTTTCTTTTGCAATTTCACATTTCTTGTATATGCTTGTGTCATACAATCAATGTGGTGTTCATTGCTATATTCATTAGAATCTTTATTCTATTTTTTTTATTTTTTGTTTTCAAATTGCAGTCATCTTTAAATGTGTCAATAATTATAAATTGCTAGATAACATACATTTAACTGTTTATAAGAGTGTATGTATATTCAATTTTATATTGGGTATTTGGCTTATGCTTTAAAACCAAAATGTTTTAATTTGCATAGTATACTTGTTGGAGTAGGAGGAAAAAAATATTTTGAGTTGTTTCTAGTAGGTAAAATATGATACCTAGTAGGTGAAATTTCTTATAGCAACGGCTTAATGGTTCTGAAGTTATTTCCATAGAAAATTTAATTTAAATAAGCAGCCAGGTGGTTCATGAATTTAATACTCCTAGTAAAATTTTTCAGAGTCAAGAATTAATTTTTAATGATTTCTTCATAATCTTTTATCGCAAGGAATTCGTCTATGTAGTGGAATAGTTGGTATGGTCACATATTAAATTAGAAATAAAAGTTTCATCTCTTCTTCATGCAAATATTTGGAACTGAACCAGTATCGCTTTATTTCTTTTAATATTTTAACAGAAAGACGCTTAAAACTGCTTTTACACTTAATTATTGTGTTGGAATTACAGTATACGAGATGTCATCAAGTAAACTACTCTACTTATCTTAAATATTACAAGCCTGTTATAAAATATCTCAGATTTACTTCATGTCGTGTTAGGACGTTTTCGTCTAGAGTAGCTGTTCTATAAAATGTGTTTATTATACAATACATATAAGATTACATCTTTATGGTCTTCAAATATTACTTTCCTATATTGTCACAAAAAACAACAAGAATAAAATAAATAAGAAAAACTTCAATGGCTTTTGTAGATTCCTCTAAAAAAATATGTTTTTCTATCTCTAATAATAACAGTTAAGTTAAAATCAATACAATTTTCTGTAACTGTTTTGTATTTTTAAAGAATTTTTTAAATGGATATTGTATTTTAAGTGCAACGAAATATCCTTTTTTTCATTTCTCTTGAATTCAACTATGTACTGGTTCACTGCATAGTTTAATGTTCCTTTTTTTATTTCTAGTTCATTACAAATAAAAGTAATTGAGAAATAATTTATTTTTTTAAATTTATTTCAAATGTTCAACAAACAAATTAAGTTCTGCTTTTTGTTTTGAAAAATGTTTAAATAAGATTAACGATTTAAAGTTCATTCTCTTTCATAAAATATGAAAGTGAATTAATTGAAGGACGTTGTTAACTTGACATGATATTGTTTTAACAGACATTAAAAAATCTTCTGAAACACAATATGGAATTCATTAGGATATTTTGTTAAAATTATAGCGGGTAGAATTTTCTCTTAGTAGCTTGTGGTCGCTGTGGTCGTTCTTTTCTAATACTATTAGTATTAATTCAGTCATCTTCGTCCGATATGCTTCTTGTGTAACACGAACCGTACCTTGGCCTATTCATTTGGTTGTCTTTTATTTCAAATGTTAACAAATGACACCTTTGAGTATGTAACAAATTCTTTAGATTTTATACTTTTCCTGACAAAACTAAGCTGTCGATGACTGGGATGGCCCGATATTATATATTATTATTTTTATTGTTAGGGAAAAATTTGGATAATTTCAATATGTCGTGTTACAAACACAGAATAACATTGAATGTAGATAAATTTTAGGTTTTCAACAAATATTAAAAGCATAGGTCTATATACGATTTTCAATTTATGGGCGGATTTCTTTAGGGATCTTGAAATTTTGGGCTCTAGTATTGGATATAAATTACAATTAAGTCAATTTATGTTGTTTTTATTTCGCATTAGTTCTTTTCTGTTTCCATACTCAAAATTATATATTTTAATTTCTTGATGCTGTTGCTGATAACTGTGACTATAGCGATTTCAATTTGCGAAATCAAAGATCAACTTACTTGAAAGAGTTCTTATTTTTTCTAGTCTAGCCAGAAAATAATTTTAATTAATTTTATAATGTTTATAACATTAAAAAATAATTATTTATTAGAAATATTTTCAAAAAAATTCTGCGGTTCTATGAAATTTTATCAAACTTAACATTCACAGTACCATAACTATTAAAACCTCAATTTAAATTTAAATTCAAACTCAATCCAAAAGTAAAATTTTATAATATCATTTAAAATTTATGAAAATCATCAATTTAATAATAAAATTTAAGAACTTTAGTCTCTTACTACAGCTTTATCTTGCGTTTTGTATTTTTTTTTTTCGCTCTTTGTTAATCAAACCTTAAATCCTTTTCAAAAATTCTACTTTCTTAAAAACCATAGAACAAAACGAAATTATTAAGTTAATAATAACAACAAAATGTTCTTGAAAACTTTTATAATCCAATCTTGAAATCTTTATGTTGGACATTGAGTTTAAGTTGTCTTTATAGTTTTTCCTTTTTTTTTTTTTGGCTTATAATGAATTAAAATTAAAGAAGAAATTTACGAATATTTTAAGAAAGTTTTCCATCTATACATGCAGTATCTACGTACATTCATATAAAACTCATTTCTAATTTGTAAACTTAATATTATGTTTTCTTAAACTATAGTAAGGCATTATTGCCATAATACAGTCATACATAAATGATTCACATGATGTTATACATGAATATTTACTTAATGAAAATATTTAAATTTTTGGTTTATATACCAAAAATTCTTGCAGGAAACAGTATAGTTCTAATAGTTTTAAAAACAATCATTTATTGTAAACTCATTTAAAATAGAGCAGGGTTAACAGCTCATGAGTAGAACCAGAAGAAGTACACCTGTCATTTCATTTATTCTTAAGACTAAAATCAACCCTAATATTGTGGAAACTTCTGATCACACAATTATTCGTTTCTATAATCTGTTGCATGATAATGAAAATTTCGTTACATTGCAAAGGTTTTTGTTAGAGTCATTTTAAAATTTTAATATGCATATGTATATTGTAGACCGTAAATTGAAAGAACAAACTGATAAAAGCATATCGATGCACCATTAGTTGGATTTATTGTGCCCATCATCTAAGTATTGACATGGCACCTAAAATACCTCTCCAAAATCTATCTTCTTAATAAATTCAAGTACCTTATAAGAATCTATGTTAAAACAGAACCATCCATAAAGTTCCTTCCTCTGCGAACCAAAGCTTCATACTCCAGAAGAAGAGACAACCAAATCTCCTTCTCTTCCCCACGGAATCTACAGGTGAAATAGCCCTACAAGCTATTCCAATCCTGGTCGACTTCTTCATAGATCTGATTTCCCTATTTCAATTTCTTTTCTCAGCTCCTCTCGCACTTTCTGCGTGTCTATTATGCGAAGGAATCTGTGTTTCTATGATGCATAGGAGTACGGTAAGAAAATTCGAATAAATTCAGCTTCTTTTAAGAATTATATTCACAAAAATCGTCCATAATTATTGTTGCAGTTCTTAATTTTAGAATTAATTTTTCAATTTTACCATGATTTTAGATTCAATAGGTTGTTTTTTTTTCTGCATTTAATTCTCGTTTCCGTTATTCATTCGTTATTTTACGAATTCATAATATTCGTAAATTCTTCTTTCAATTGGTTCCCTTTACCTACATTCGACTGTACACCAATTTGATTAAGATAAAGTTTTTAAGTCGAACTTAGTACCGTAAAACCCCATGAAAGTTTTCATCACATTTTTCGCATATAAACATTCAAAAAAACAAAAACCATCCAGGAAAAACAAAAAAACAAAGGATACCTAAAGAAGGAAAAGTTTTTTTTTTTTTTTTTTAAATTTTTTTTTATATTCTTGTTTTATTATTTAAACTTCTTGTATAGTTTAAGAGTATAATAAATTCAAGTTTAATTTTTCTTTTCTCATTTCTTATATTATGTATATTGCTTCTCCGATTAAAATTCAGAAAATGGAAGAGAAGAAGAGAAAATTTTTATGAGAAGAAGAGAAAATAAAAAAATTTGTATTCAAAAAATCATTCGCATAAATCATAAAATTTTTTTTTTGTTCTTTTCTTATTTTTAAGGAAAACATCAGATGAATGACAAAATGAGTTTTTTTTTTCTCTTTCTTTTTTTTTTTTATTCCAATTCTAATTCCAATCCAACTCAATCCATTCATTGTCATCCCACTGTAAAATAAATGCAAAATGAGAGAACACACAAGAAAAAAGGTAAAACGAAAAATAGAAAAAGAGAAAAACAAACAAAAAAAAACCAATAAGAATGAGAAGAATTTTAAGAGAGTTTTTAAGATGGTGTAAAAGTTTTATGATTGTTTTTATAAATTTTATTATTTTTTTCTCTTTCTCTGTCTCTTATTATTGTTATTTCTTCCTCTCGTAATTTATTGTGCTATATCAAAGTCCCGGTAATGTTAAACTTTCACCGGTGTGTAATTATTCTAAATTGATATATTCTGAATACATAATTTTCATTTTTATAACAGTTATATAAAAGGATATTTTATTCAATATAAGAATTATAATTTATTTGTTTAAGGACACCTACTCGTGTATATGCATACGTATGTACTTTTAGAATAAAAACAAATTTATAAATCGATTTTTAAATTTATAGAGAAAAGAGAATTATTTAGGAACTGAGCATAATATTTGTGTGAGTGTGCGGTTTTTTCTGTAAAAATTTATAATAAAGGTCACGTTCTAGAAATGAACATGACAAGAACTCTTAAAACAAATATATAAGAAATGTGTGTAGTTTTTATTTTATTTTTTCTCAAAAAAGAAAAAGTTTTCGCTTTTCATTCATGTTAAAATCAAATTCAGATTATAATAATAAATATTCTATGTTTAATTTTTTCTAAATGTAATCTGACATAAACTATAATAGCAATAAAATATTATACATTATAAGAGTGGGCATGGTGTTGTTGGCATGCTGTAAAGTTTTTCTATACTATTAATACAGCAAGATTGTAATCAGGCCCGTTTCCGACTTGAGGGGCATCCAACGCGGTTTCCAAATAGAAGGCCCTCTTTTATACAACCTCTTATTGCCGTACAAAAGTTTTAAAAAGCAGAAAATTGTCGATGATAGCAAAACTCTTTTGGTTGGTACATCTTATTCTAATAACGAATTGGAATTATAAATTATTAGGGAAAGATAGTCTAAAAATTATTATCACTGATTTTCGAATCAAATTATATAAAATATTTTAATATTTTAAATAAAGATTTTTTTAAAATTCCTTAAAATTAGTCTGAAAATATTCTTATTTAATCTTGTTTGTCCACTTCACAAATCACATATAAAATATGTAAACTAAAAAAATCTAAAATCATTCTTTAAAGTCTAAAATATTATTTTATACATAAGTGTTATACAAAACACGTACAAATATGTATATATAAATTATAATGGAAGTTATAAATTAGTTTGTGTTCACAGGATGTTAAAGGAAACGATGTAATAAAAATATTGTATAGAGGAAAAACTTTACAAAAATAAAACTTAAATATCATGATAGAAAAGTACAAATACAATATATTAGCCTTAATATATTTATTTATTCATTTTAATATACCTATAAATATGGGATACTAAAACTTTTATATTGAATAGTATTTTTATTCTTTATAGTATATGAGACATTGTTATTCTTAAGCTATACGCTTACAAATAAAATAAACATAATTTTTATATAGCTCAAGGATATTTAGAAAATAAAATGAAATGTTAATAACAAATGTGGTCCCAATTCTTATAACAAAAAAAAAAGACTTAAATTTTATTATCAAAAATTATGAAAGTCTAGTAAAGTTATGCATGGTACAACCCTCTTTAAAATTAAACAGAAAACTTTAACATTCGATGGGAATAGAAAAATTTAGCGGCGTCTGTTACACCATTTATTGGTCTTACGCAATAATTATTAATATTATGCCACAAAAAAATGAATGTTTCTCCTATTTTATAATAATATTTGCGAGTATAACAGTTTTGTAACTGTTATACGCCCCAAAAATGCAGCGGTATAACAGTTTTATTATAAAGAAAATGCAAAAATTTTGTAAAATATTTTAAATATACTTATAATTTTTTCCTATAATATTAAAATATTTCAATTTTTTTTTGTTTTAGGTATCTTGGGTAAAACGAAATCATAATGGTGATGAAGAAGCATTAGAACTTTTAACTGTTGGTGCACATACATATACCGGTGATAGCCGTTTTACAATTGATTTTCAATATCCAAGTAATTGGAGATTAAAAATATCAAATGTACGTAAAACAGATGAAGGTCAATATGAATGTCAAATTTCAACACATCCACCACGTGTCATACAAATTAGTTTACATGTTAATGGTGAGTAATTTAATAAAAATAATATTATTAATAATATTTATTATCATTAACAATTTGGATTTTAACAGAACCAATTTAAATAATTAATAAAAATGTTATAATCTGTGATTATTGTTAATATTTTTTTTGTAATTATTTAATTATTAATATTTTAATTTTCTTAAAATTAATTATTAATCAAAATAATTTCAACAATAATATCTTTTGACCAGCTGCTTACTACATGTTGTTCTGAAATCTTTATAAAATTATTATAAATTACATTTGGATTATTTTTATTGTAAAAAGTTTTGATGCAATTTTTGAAATGATTTTTTTTTTTGTTGTATTCTTAATAGCTTTTATCAATTAAAGAGTCTTTAATATTGTGTAGACTAGTTGTATGTTTTAAGTATACTGTTATATAATTCTATATTATAATAAATTATGTATTATGTATTTTTATAATGCTTGAATTTCCAAACGTATATTACAACTATTCACAAAATATTATAAAAGCACACAGGGTGAGTAAGACTAGATTGTGTTACTGAAGAAAAGTGATGAGATTGGGCCTGTGATAAGTGATAAGATGTGGCTTGTGCCTCTCCTGGGCAAAGTGATAAGACAAGCAATTAAAAAATACCAAATAATGAATGTGTTATTAGTTCTCAAAGTTGGTGCTTCTAAAATATGTTTTTACATAATATGCTACTAAAATATGTTTGTAAATTAACGGGGGATATTACGGGTAAAATGCATTTGTTGAACTCAATTTGAAGCTCATAAGCTTTCTCTCTTAACGATATGTCATCGACATCTACTGAATAAAGAAAATGTTCTTTAAAACATCATCCAGCTTTCGGTATCGCCATCAAGCCTTGGATACTTTGTACATATAATTATTGCTCTGAATAATAAATTTTCCTTTAGTCACATTTCAGTGTTTTTTTTTTTCTTTATTCATTTTACAAAATTCATTATCAATGAGAAAAAGAAAAACACTGTAAATAACATCCAACAAGAACTGTATGTCTACAAATAGGTAGGTGTGTGGGTCGGTTTATGAAAAAGTTTAAATTTAGAGAGACGGTATAGAGAAAAACACTTTGGAATATTTTTTTTGAAATATAATGAAAGCTTTTATAAGATCCTTATAATATTTTAAAACACATTGAGAAAATAATATTTATATGTACATACGTACTCGTATAATGTAGTCCCCTTAACTTAATAGCTTTCCTTGAGAAAATATTTTATGTACCTACTATACTAGTAGTAGTAGTAGTAGTAGTAGCAGCAGTTAAACATGACTGAATATTAAAACTTTGATCTAAATAATAATAATATTATGTTAAAGAAAGTACTAGGGTAGAAATGTAGAGAAGAATGTAGATGAAGTGTACATACACTTAATTTTATTCTTAATTTATTGTAGTTTTCTTCTTCCACTTCTTCCTCTTCAGGAAAAATAATAAGAGTTCGTTATATGCAGCTTACTTATACAGGAAAATTATTTTAAAATAAATTATGTATGTAATAAAAAAAAATATAAGAATAGTGTTTTTAAAGAAAAAGTTTTCACAAAAAAATAAAGAAAAACAGTATTCAAGATTGAAGGATCATTTTATATTGAAAATTATATTGAAGTTTATAGAGAAATTAATAAAACAAATTTATTTGATGATTCTTATAAATATATTTTTATATGCTAAATAAACATTTTTTAAATACTTCTACTCTAAGGTAAATCTGCTATTAAATAATGTGAATAACAAAGTGCTCTAAGAAATGGGATACAGAGGGCGCGTGCAAATTTTTAGCTTTCTCTTTTTTTTCTGGTTCAACAAATTTTCTCGTTGCAGTTACTAACATGATATCGACTCATTTTGATATAACAGTTCGCGATGGAGGACCAATTCCCGAAAAATCAATTCTATATTGGAGGAGGTGTATTGATTTTGTCATTTAATATTAATATTACAAACCTTCTTTATATAAGACAGCACTCGCGATCATGGGAGACATAAGTATTATAGTCTTGCTCAAAATTCAATTCGCATTCGGTCTTGCTCAAAATTCAATTCGCCTGGCTTTGGTTCGTGTTTTCGTCTATCTAACTACTATTGTAGTGCCTCTTTTGAGAATAGAAAATGCGAAAGGTTTTGTAGTTCGGTGAATTTGCTTATATTTTCTACACGCTATGACAAATGACACGCTATGGGGGTGTGCCGAAACTCATTTAAAGAAGTTGCAAATTATGCAAAATAAAATTTTAAAACTAATACTCAATTTGCCACGCCGGTTTTCCACCACTGTGCTACACAGTAAAGCAAATATACCTAAGGTTTCAAATAAAATCAGAATAATTACAGAAAAATTTCTGGAAAAATGTCATAGTTCTAATAATAGTCTTATTAGATCTATGGCAGATAGTTAAGGCTAGGTTAAGTTCGTTTTAGTATATGTAGTTTTTAAGTTTTATATTATTAAAAGTCAAAGGTTTTTCTTTTTTTCCGAAAAATATTAATATCAATTAAATAATATCAGATAAAACAAAATTTAGATAAGTTGGAAAGAACATTTAAATGAATTATATAGCACTTAAGATTGTATTATATTATTATTGTAACAAAGCTATTATCTAGACACAATAAATAAATAAAATGAAAAAATGACAAATGACCGAATCGTTTTATATTGCTAATAATTTATGTTGTTGAAAATGAGTTGAAAGTCGTTTCAAATTTTTATCAAGCGTTTTTTCGACAAAATTCAATGTCAAATTTATGTCAAAGAATACCTCATATTTTAACTTAAGAGGTGACAATGTTTAAAATTTTAAGAAAGATTCTCTCTAAGAAGTTTTTTTTTGAAATATCTTCATATGTTAAAATATGAGGTATTCTTTGACATAAATAGTTTTTTTTTTTAATAAATTAAATATATTTCTTCTATCTCATTACCTATTATGGTAATTATAATTTCTTTATTTCTGTTCTTCTGCCCAGATTCTAAGAAACAATGGTCCCCTTTACGTACTATACTATGGAATTAAAAAATTTTATCCTATAAGTATGCAATATTTCAAAAATATATATATCATTCTTTTTAAAAAATTATTAATGGAAAATGTTCCACATTTTAAATATTTTAATTTAATCTTTTCAAATGTCTTATTATAGCTTTCATTATTAAGATTTTCTTTAAAAAATTTTATTTTACTCATAACAATATACACATTCTATTACCTATTAAACATTCATGACATACAATATTAATACAAATAGAATAATTTAAAAATCTTGTTTGTCTAAATATAAGGCAACAAAATCAAAAATAACCATCCCAATTATAATTGTTATTGTTCTATACAATTACTTTTATACACTGATTAAAGTTCCACATTTACACGTTTAATTCAATAGGGTAGAAAAACACCCCTTATTATTCAATAATAATAATGATGATTTTTTATAAAAGATATCTAACAGAAAATTAGATTAGCTTATCTTATCTTTAACCTTGATTTAAAAATGAACAAATTAGAAATTCCTGAATTGTAAATAATTGTGTGTGTGTGTTTATTAGATTTTAAGATAAAAAATTTTCTTTTTAATAATATTATGTTGTATTATGAAAATCTATCAAAAAATATCTTGTTCATTTTTATTATAATATTTAATGATAATAAAATTTAATGGAGATAAAAATTTTCCATTTTAATATTAAAGGAAATCGTTTCATTTTCATTTTGTATATATTGTAAAAAAAATATAATACATATTATTATAAATTTTTTGTATTTGAAATATAATATACTTAAAATGAAAACTTTTATAACATTTTCTTTAAATATCCTGATAATATTATACTATATTTTACGTATAACAATTACATGTGTATATTGTATATTGTTATACGTAATATAATATTCGTAATTTCCTTTAACTATCTTTTAAACGTACATGAAGGAGGCTGTATATTAAATGAAATTATATTATGGGTACTTTATATATGGAGCAATGAGTTAGAATCATGAATAACAAAATATAATCTGATGAGCAATACAATAATATCATTTCATTACCCTAATGATGATTTTTTTTTAATATTATATAATATTATATAATAATATTATATACAATATTAAAGACTATAATGATGTTAAAAATTTTCCATGAAATAAGGCACATAATATATTAATAATAAGACTGCCACACACTAGAAATATGAAATTAAAAATTTTTTGGTTCGAAACTTTGCTATTCCGACTTTTTAACTTAAAAATGTTGATTTTTGAGAATATCAATTTACCAATTAAAGTTATTGAAAAATGGGGCCGTAAATTAAAATTAAAGAAAATTTATTTTAGTTACTAGATATTAAATGTTTAAATGAAAAACAAAATAATGCTAGATTTCAGTTAAAAAGTTGAACTGGCTTAAGTTGCTCTTTGATTCCTCCTAAATATTTTAAATTTAGAAACTGAAAATTTTCTTAAAAAAAAATTTTTTTTAATTTTGAATGGGATTGAGAAAATTCCATATTTTTCTTAGCTACATATATATCGGAAAATACAATTTCCCTAAAAGTATGCAATTTTATATAAATTTGTTTTTTTTTTGCGATTTGGTCAATATTTCTCATTTAATTAAGTTAAATAAAACATAAGGTGAAATAGTCGCAGCTTACTATGTAACATGCTTCGAAACTATAGAAAATTTTTTCCTCACTTAATATACAATTTTTCAAAAATAATTTTCTTTCTTCTTTTAACTCAATTCAAATGAAAAATCGAATTACTGGCGTTCCTTAGTTTACGGTTATGTGATTTAAAAACAGAAACATGATTTGAGTCGTTTCTTAATTTATGTTGGATGGCATCTTAAAATCTTTAGCTTTTGTATTCAATAATTTACAAGCACAAAAAACGTATCATCGTAATTTTCATTCACATTGAAATTTAATCTGGTAACTCTGGCCAGAAAAATATCAGAAAACAACAAAAGAAAAAAAAT